ATAGTCACCACGAAGATACAGAAAACTATCAAAACCACACAATAAACCAACACAGGTGAGGTAGTTAAAATTTGATGAAGAAAGGCCTTAGCAGTTGATTTGTTAGAGGTTTTATATGAAAACGAAAGTTCACTACCAAAAGTGTCAAAGTTTTTATTATTTATTCTGAATTGAATTTTTATTCTTTTTTTTTCAGAACTGAACTACTCTTTCACCAAAGAAAATTTGAGTTTATTTATACAAAACATTAATACATATTTATGAAAAAAAAGAATAGAACTACAGTGCCCAACAAAAATTTCCCCACACCTATATCTCCTCATGGAGAGGTGCTATGGCCTTGAAACTTTTCCAATAATTATTATATACATAGTTTAGATTGTGCGCATTTTTTGAATATTTTTTAATTACTAAAAAAAAATTTACATGAGAGCTAAATTTGGAATGAATTTTTTTAAAAAATAAAAAAATTAATTAAATTTAAAGAAAAATTAATATATCGTTAAGGCTTAAAGCTAAAATTCCAAAAAATTAGTTTATTAAAATTTAATGATTTCTGTAGTAGTGATAAAAAATTTAGCTTGATTTAATGAGATAGTTGTTAAGAAATTAATTTTTAAAATTTGATTTTTATTTTTAAAAATTACAAAGTAAAGTTTTTCAATCAAAACTATCTCGATATCTAGTAATCCAAATTTAATGATTTTGATATCATTCGAATTGTCTTGTTGAGACAATTCAAATGATACCAAAATCATCAAATTTGGACTATTGAAACACGAGATATTTGTAAAAAACATTTCGCAATACAAAATAGTCAAACATTGACAAATCAAATGTGATAAAAATAAAACTCAAACCTTTAAGAATTAATTTCTCAATAACTATCTCATCAAATTGAGTTAAATTTTTTGTCACTACTCTGAAATATTAAATTTTAATATAGAAATTTTTAGAATTTTTAGCTTTTATCCTTGATAATATATTAAAGTTTCTTTGAATTCAATTATTTTTTTAAATTTTTTTGAATGAAAAACATCCCAAAGTTAGCTTTCATCTAAAAATTTTTCTAGTGATTATAAAATCTTCAAAACAAATACACAACTAATTTATGTATGTACTAACTTTTCTGAAAATTTCAAAGTTGTAGCACCTCTCCATGAGGAGATATAGGTGCGGAGAAACTTTTGTCAGACACTATACAACTCCTTATCACATTGTATCATCTACTTTTTAGATGATCTTTGGATGATTAGGCCTTTACTTACACGAATATAAATTTTTATTCCACACAATCACATGATTTTCTGATTTGTTTTCACTTGTTTTACTTTACTTAGCAGTGTTACCACCTCATCTAGCCTTTTTGGATGATGCATGATTAGTATTTTAAACCAAATGGCTATCCCATAGTTTTCTCCTTATGCTTCATCTAGGAGTTCACTAATTTATGGTCCCAGGACCTTCTAAGTAGGTTGTGCCTAATATGGTGATTATATAAAGGTGTAATTATAAAATTTAAATTTCTATATAATCACAATTATAAAAATTATAAATTGTGATTATAAAAGATGTGAAACGTAGGCAAGTATAAGTAAGGGTGCCACTGGCTCCTACATTTATATTTATATAAGACTAAAATTTAAAACATACAATTGTATCAATTTTAATAAGTACTTAAGAAGTAATTGATCAATTAAGTAAATTAGCACAATTAAAATTATTTCACATATTTCTGTATATCGATATCAATTAAAAAATCATTACGCCTATTGGCTAAATCAATAAAAGATTTTTTATTAATAAATTAGCACAGATAATAAAAATTGATAAGAGGTACGATCTTCAATTATAAAATTTCTGTAATTGGCTTTCAAAACATAAATATACAAACCGAGTCAAGTTAATAAACATCTTCAGCATTAAACATAGATGTTATAGCTTATTTGCTATTTATAATTTCTGCAGTTGGCTTTTTAAAACCTAAATATATATACTAGTCAATAAACATCTTCAGTAATAAATATAAATAAAAGGTCTCATTCGACAGGTTAAATATCTAAATTATAGAGATAATTTATTATTTTTATTAATAGCTTCATCTAAACTAAAATTTTACTAGTAATTTTTTAGTGAGAGAAGTAGGGGTTCACTATTATCATAAAGTTTCATCAATTTAGTTTTTTTTTTATTTTTTATTTTTAGTGGGAGAGGAGACCAAGAGGATTTTTTTAGCACTAAGGTTTCATCATTTTGAATTTGGGTTTCATCTTTCATCAGCAGAATTTGAGGTTTTGCTTTCGTCAGAGGTTTTGTTATTTTGGGGCTTAGGTTTTATCTTTCATTATCAAGCAAAAAAGGTTTCATCTAACAATAGGCTCAGGTTATTTGAGTATTTAGCATCTTCAAATTGCATCCAAGTTATGGGTTTAAAACTTTACCCCAGAACATCAAGGCTACAGATTTAATTTTTAAATCATGGCACTAGCAATTAATTTTTAAAATTAGATTCAAACCAGAAAATATCTAATCACTATTTTTTTGAGTAGTGCTATATAATATATAGCCAATTAGATTAATTTATTTATAATTATATAGTTAGAAATTAGTGATTATAATGAGGTTTATTTATTAATAAAAGTAATATATTTATTAAAATAAGTGGTGATAGTAATTATAGGCAATCTGTGACTATAATGAGGTTTTTTTACTATATTTAAGTCTGTCGCACAATTTTGGGTGCTTTTATAGAGTTGTGACTATATAGGGTGTGATTATAGAGAGGTTAGACTGTAATTGTATTATAGATGCAATTATAGCATCTTTTTGATACTTCATTAATTTGTTTTAATCCTTTTACATTCCTGGAGCTGCTTTAGGCTTAGTCTATTTAGAGGCTTTACAAGGGAGTGCATTTCTCCTGATTTCTTGCCAATTGTGAGAAATGACTTGAGTCAAGTCCTAGTCACATTTTGAGTCCTGTAATAGTGGTTTTAGTGCTACAGAAACTGCTAGTTTACTATTAACAATTCTCTCCTTCTTAATTTTACATGTCCTATAGAAAATTGAACAGATTTTTGGTTCTGTATAACAGATACAAGTTGATCTATCTTCTTTGGGTTTTATTAAGGTACCAATCCAATGCCTAAACCCAAAAAAAGACAACAATAAACCCCCCAAAAAAACTCATAAGGATTTCTTAAAAATTCATGCCCATTTTTTCATTAAGATTTTTTGCTATGTGCTCTTTAATCCGGTATACAACTGTTGTGACTGACCTTTTTTGCTAAGACATATTTATTTTAATTCTTTTGCAACAACAAATCTCCAAACTCACTAGTGAGTTCATTAGGCTCATAATACTTCTATAACAACCTAAATTAAAGGAGGCTAAAATTACTCTTCTTTTCATAGTTTTCAGTTTGTAAGCATCATTAGGGAGTTGTTATGTATATAGTAGGGACCAAGCACTTTGAAGCAAACTTATTGCTTTAGGAGTACCTTTTCTTTGCATCTTCCAGAAGAACTTTTTCTCTTATATCAAACCTGAAACTTACTCTGTGCTTCTAATTATAGTAAGCTTTTAAAGTATTTTGCTTTTTGCCTATATTTCTACAGTTTGATTATGGATATTAGGAAGTTCATTTATTAACTCAAATATACTCTGCAAGATAGTTCCTTTTAATAGTTCCTCTGAGTAGCTAGAGTGAATTGGTAGTCTAGCCTCATAGCCATATATGAAGTAAAATGGTGTCATGTAAGTAGTAGTATTCTGGGCAGTCTAATATGCAAATAAAACTGAAGAAATTAACAAATCCCAATTAGCAACATTCTTGACCAACTTTCCAATAGCCTCACACAACGTTTTGTTAAAATATTCAACCAAGCCTTTTGTGCAAGAGTGGTACAGAGTAGAGAATTGTTGGTGAACTTTGAATTTTGCCAGGAGCAGCTTTATTATATTATTTTGGAAGTGTGTTCCATAGTCTATTAGAGCATTCATATCTATAATTATATTATTATTTAGAAACTTGGCAATAGTTTGTGCATTTGCCTTTTCCATAGCTTGTGCTTCAGACCAAAGGATTATATAATCAATTGCAATCAATATATACTAATTCAATTAGAGTGTATGAGGTAGGAGACCAACAAAATTTAATTTATCTTATAGATAAGGCTAAGATGGGTATAAGAGTTAATGCTGTTTGTGTACGAGGCCAGGTTTTACGTTGATATGGATCACATATTTAGATATATTTATGTACATTTGGGGCTAAAAATAAACATTATGCACTTTTCAAATATAATATTATAGCAAAAATGCCCTCCAAGTAGATGGGTGTGTACTAGAAACAATACTGGGTCTACTTTATGTTTTCATAACACTCACAACAAGTTTCCTTTTTTCATCAATTTTTCTTGTATAGAAGGCATTCTTGCATCTCGAAAAATTCAGATTTCTTAATTAACTTTTGTTGCTGCTTCTTATCTAACATTGGCAATAAATATTTTGTATCTAAATACTAAACCAAATATAGATAATGGTTAGGCTCTATTTAGAAAATTAACTAGTGTTTTTTTTTATTTTTAATTTTTTTTTTATCTTAACTCTAAATTAGTTATTTGAGGGAAATACAGAAATTAATTTGCTACTTGTCTATAATAAAGGGCACTATCTACAGAAATTCTGTGAAAAAAAAAAATAAACAAACAAAATGATATATATAATTCAAAAAAAATTTTAATAGAGCTAGAACACTGGTAACCTGGTCTGGATTTAAAAACCAGATTTTTATATTATTATTATTATTATTATTATTATTTTTTTTGATAGTTTTTTTTCTTTTTTAATCAACTATCATAGATTGGGGTTCCAAACTTTTTTCAGAGACTGACAATGACATAGGTGGTTCCAGAAGCCTTGATAATATATTCATATTGCTTTGCTTTATTCTATGTCAATACACAATTTGGAAATTGTATAGCTGCAGCTGAAGTATCTAATAGGCCATATGACCAGTTAATGCCGCAGTTTGCAGCCATTTTAATACTGCATGGTCAGTGACAACAACAAAAGGATCTAGGCCAAAATAATAGCAAAAGTACTTTATCACCTATAAAACCACCAAATATTTAAATTCAGTAATACTATAATTTGTTTCAGATGCTATTAATGCCCAACTTGTATATACTACAACATACTCTTTTCTTATGTTATCCTTTTGGGCCAACATGATGCCCAACCCAGTTTTAGAGGCATCAATATGCCTGATAAATATTTATTAAAATTGAGATAACAGAGTATAAAAGCATCTGTTAGATTAAATACATCTTTTGGTTCATAGGTCTATTCATACTCAACATCCTTTCTTAACAAATGGTGCAGGGGCTGAGAAATCGAGACAAAGTTAGAAATAAATTTTCCATTGTACGAAGCCAACTCAATAAATCTACAGAGTTGTCTTAAATTCACAGAAGGAAAGAAGTTCTAAACTTTTTCTACTTTACTATTATTAGGACGAACTCCCTTTTATCCAACAACATGACCCAAAATTAAAGGTATTATTTGAGAAAGGCACACTTACTGAAATTTAATTTTATACTCACAGCCTTTAACTTTCGAAAACAGTGGCGATGTGGTGCAAGTGTTCATTAAAAAAAGCAGAGTATATTATGATATTGTCGAGATATACTATGATGAATTGTTCGATAAAATTAGCTAGCACATAATTTATCATATGCTAAAAGGTGGCAGAAGCATTGCAGAGGTCAAAAGGCATGACAACAAACTCATATATGTCAAAAGAAATTGCAAATGCAGTTTTTTTCTGGTTCTTCTCATTAATTTTCACCTGCCAATACCCAGACAATAGTCTAAGGAGATAAACCATGTAGCATAGCAAAAGACTTCTAGTAAATCATTTATCTGTGGAAGAGGATATATGTCCTTAGCGGTTACTATATTTACCTTCCTATAGTTGACACATATTTGTAGTTTTTCACCCTTTTTTGAGACAACTACAACTAGAGAAGCCCATGGGCTTTTTGATTCTTGTACCAACTCTTTGCCTTTAATTGTGCTACTTTCTTCTTAATGAAGACATGTACACTCAGTCTGGCATGATATGGGGCCTGTTTAATTGGAGCAGTGGCACAGGTATCTATTTTGTGTATTATGATATCCATTTGATCTAGGTTGTTTGTTCCACTAGCAAAAATTTTTTTTTTGCAAGCAGTAACTCACAAGCTTGATTTTTTTCTTTTAAATCCAAAGAGACATTCCTCATACTATCCTTCAATTTTTCCTTGATAGTTGGTTCATTTTTGAGATCAAGGTCTTCAGTTGGTAGTTCCTCCATGTTGGCCAAGCACATAGCAGAACTGCAATAGTCTATCTACGAATTTTTGAAAATACTCTTGTCAAGGGTTTCTTTGATAAAATATCTATTAGCTTTATTCAAAGCCTTATTATCATACTTGAACTCATTAAAGGTATTGTACCAATTTGCAGCAACACCACACAAATATCCCAAGGTTATTTTTATCTTGTGTTAAGGGAACTAATTGTTAGCATCCATAGCTCGTTCAAATGCCTCTACTTATTTGAGAGGTTCTTTATCTTCATTTCCATGAAAGAGTTTGACCCCTTACTTGATTAGTTTCATGCAATGAAGAACAGGCAGTATTAACAACATCAGCAGAAGCTTCTCTAAATATATTTGTAATTTCTTGCAATATTACCTGCAGTAGTTTCAGAAATGATTGGGCATTTTGACTATTATTAATAATATTGTATGCAAGTAAATCTGCAACAGAAGTGTGACTACAATCACTATTAGAAGAATTCTGACCTGGGTAACCTAATCATAGGGGGATATCATCAATAATTCTATTTTTATCATTGTTGGGGAAGACATTTACTTCCACTTTTAGTTGTTTCATAATTTTAGATTAGTTTTTTTTTATTATTATTAGCTATATAAAAAACTTGCAACAGTTTTGGCAGAGTTAAAATTATTATGTTAGATCTTGCAGTTATCACCACAATTGTTAGTGACTAAACTAGATATATACAGATCTAGATAGTCACTATGGAGATACAGAAAACTACCAAAACTACACAACAAACTAACAAGGGTGAGACAGTTAAGATTTAGCAAAGAAAGGCTTTAGGAGTTGATTTGTTAAGGGTTATATACAAAATAAAGGTTTACTACCAAAAGTATCAAAGTTTTTATTATCTATTCAGAATTGAAATTTTATTTTATTTTTTTCAAAACCTAACTACTCTTTTACTAGAAACTATTTTGAGTTTATTTATACAAAAAGTTAATATATATTAACAAAAAAAAGAATAGTAGAACTACAACTTCATATCACATCATATCGTCTACTTTTCAGATAATTTTTTGATGATTTACACAAATTAAACTTTCATCCCACATGGTAACATGATTTCTGATTTGTTTTTATTTGTTTTACTTTACCTGGTAGTGTCACTGCCTCATCTAGCCTTTTTGGGTAATGCTTGGTTTGTATTTTAAACCAGGTGGCCATTCCATGGTTTTCTCCTTATGCTTTATCTAGAATTTACTAATTCATAGTTCTGGGACCTTCTAAGTGCTAATCATGTCATAGATGCAATCATAGTATTTTTTTGATACTTTATTGATTTGTCTTAATCCTTTTATACTCCTGGGGCTGCTTCAGGCTTAGTCTATTTAGGGGTTTTGCAAGGGAGTGTATTTCTCCAGATTTCTTGCCAATTGCAAGAAGTAACTTGAGTCAAGTTCTAGTCACGTTTTTGGGTTCTATGATGGTAGTTTTAGTGCTACAGAAACTGCCAGTTTACTATCAACAATATGTAAAAATAATTCTACAAAGAACCTACAAACTTTATGAAATACAAAATATTTAGATTAGTTGAATTAATTTTTATCAGGATATTTATTTTTATATAATTTACTATAAAAAAAAAATTATATAAAGAACTTGCTGGCTATGTTAACAAAGAAAAATATTTAAATTAATTAGAATTAATAATTATTTGGTATTTACTCATATGAGATTACTGCAAAAAAAAACAATTCTATAAAGAACTTACGAGCTGTATTGACAAACAAAATATTTGGTTTAGTTAGAATTGATGTTTATTAGGGTATTTTCTTGTATGTGATTTACTTTAAAAATATATATATTTTATAAAGAACTTACTGACTGTATTGACAAATAAAACATTTAAATCAGTGTTCATTAAGAGTATTTATGTTCTGCATCATTCTGAATTTACATCGATTCTGGATTGATATGTGTAAAATGACAAGTCATTTTAGGATCAGTATCTTATTTACCAATTAATAAAAAATGAAAAATAAATAAATAAAGTGAAAAATAAATTTAGAAAAATTTAAAAATTTATAAAAATTTATAAAAATCTGGTTTGTGGTTTAGATTGATATTACTATAATAAGGTTGATAAGGTTGATATTAATGAGAATCACCTGTAATAAATTGTATAATATGCAATTTTTTCAGTAGTTTATTATATTGTTGTAGTCTTATAATCTTTGTATTGGCCGATGATCTAAGTCATATTATTTTTTTCTATATGACCTTGGTCAAATAATTATGGTTTTTGGTCATAGTCATATCGGTCATATGCTAATAAAAATTTTTTTACTATAAAAAAAAGATTATAAGCTATATATCAATCTTTGCTATAACCAAATGACAGGCTATAAAGATCATAAAGGTCATATAGATTATTTAAGATCATAGATCAACACTGCATTTCAAAAATTGAGAAATGTACATGTCAATTTAGAATTGACATAAATTTAGAAATGATGCAGAACATTTACTCGTGCGTAATTTACTGTAAAAAAATATTATATAAATAACTTACGAGTTGTATTGACAAACAAAAAAATATTTAGATAACGTTCGTTAGAGTGTATATTTGTACTTATTTACTGTAAAAAAAACTCTATAAAGAACTTACCCACTGTATTGACAAATAAAATGGTTGGATTAATTAGAATAAACATTTATTAGGGTATTTACTTGTATGTGATTTAATGTAAAAAAAATATTCTATAAATAACTACGAGCTATATTGACAAAAAATTTTTGAATTAGAACTGAATTTGTTATAGTATTTAATGACAGTAACATTTTATTTGATGTATATTTTCTGGTTATTTTTGGTTATTTTTAAATTTGTTCGGGTTTATCTTAAAATTGGAAATTTTAGTTTGTCAGTTAATATTTTGGTGTATCCTCGTGAGCCGCCACATTGCCCATTTTATCCAAAAAGGAAATTGTTTATTCCAATATAGTACTTGTACATACTAGTATGTACGTACGTACTAGATCGTTCGTACAGTTCTAGTACAGTTCACCAAAAAATTTTTATCGATTTCATGTTGTATTTATAAAAAAAGGATGTGTAGGGCTTTGCATTTTTTAAGTAAATATTTGTGAAAATATTGCCTTTGTTTTTGACAGTAAAATAAATAAATGATAAATCATTAAAAAAAATCAGCACTGATTCATTTCATGTGTGTTATCACTCTTTGATTTAATTGGATTGATGATCCTATTTATTTTTTCTGAATCCCGTGAGTCATGTGATTACAAAAGATTACTTGGAACTCTCTTTAAACTCATATATTTCTGATTTATTAATAAATAAGACTTATAAAATAAAACGAACATAAAGTAACTATCTATGTTGTATTCCAGGACTCACGAGACTCAGAATTTTTTTTATACAAGTCATTAATCCAAATAAATCGCATTTGTGGTTATTTGTCGTGGCACCAATTATGTAAATTGATTTTATTTTTAATTTATCCACATTTCATAACGTATAAGTATGTTGTGGTAATAACACAATGTGATTTGCTTGGTAAATATGTTAATAGGAAGTATTAATAAGTTAACTAAAACTAATTCAATACTAACTATCTCTACCACCTAATTCAAAGTTTGTCTTTTTGAACGCATTACAAAATTCCGAAATCCTTAATAGTTATTACAATATTTTCTAAATCTGAAACTATTGCGACATTATTGACCATCTGCATTGCCAAATCTGTATCATTCGCATATGATTATCAAATCTATGTACTCTTATTTATTTATTCATAAAATAATGTACACATATTTTATCGTCGATAGAATTCTCCACTTTTCTGTTCTTTCACTTGCGTGTTAAATTACCAGGAAGTAA